TTTAAAGTTGTTTCTAATCTAATGATGTGATCTCATCCCAATAAGAATAAGTAATAAGTAAATTGAATAAGTTAAAGAGAACAAGCCCCTAGTCGTCTTGAAAATAGCATTAAACAACTTGGTGATCCTCACCAACCCATCATCTTTGCCAACAATCTTCTAGAACTCCCCTAGGGTCTCATCTGATCCCAAAGCTCTACCCCCACTCCACCCCACCCCCCCCCCCACCCCATCATCTTGGCAATAGCTTTCACCACCTCTTCTTATCTAATGCCCGGAAGTACTTAAAATCTCAAGAATTCTCAGAGCTAGACGTAGACTCTCATCCCTCCAGCATTCACAAAGGCTATAAAAGTAAGACTGCCTTCAGTCTATCCTCCACTGCATCCATCAAAACCTTGTCATTTTCACCTTTAACACACCACCAAAAATGCATGGAAAAGACAGCCTAAAACACAAATCGATAACAGGCTAAGTACAAGATAATAAAATCACATAAGCCACCACACCTTCAGTAAAACAAGTTTAAAACAATACGGCATAAAAAACAAAAATGAACTAAATGGAAGTGTTGTGGGTGGGGGTGGATCAAGTTTTGGTTTGGGCAATGGGGGGATCAAGTTCCAGGTTGGGGAGTGGTCTGTGTCAAAGGAGGATGGTCTTGCTCAGCGCTTACAATGGCAAAAGAGTTGAGCGGGCTTAGGGTTTACAACTGGCGTGGGAATTGGGATAGGATTGGGATTTGGTATATGGGATTGGGGCTTGGTTGGCGGTGGGCTCTGGGAATGCTACGGAGAGGGCTGGGGATGGGGGTGGGTTTGATCAGAGGCAGGGGGACTTACCTAGAGCCACCGGATGGCCGCTGTGTGCCGTCATCCCTTACCGTTGGTTCATCCCTACCGGCAGGACATCATCAAGAAAGGAAGCAGCAACAATGGGTGTTCATAAATAAGCAATAACGGTCGATTGAGTAGTCAAAGAGGAATCAGCCATTCAAATATAACAAAAGAAAAACATATATCCCTGATTGCCATTATATTTTTATAGGACACGAAAAGAAATATAAACAAAGAAACTCAAACCACAATGTAGAAACATGCCATTTAAAGCAGAGAATTAACAGCATCATCATAATCATCTTATTCCGACGACAACAGCAACAACCAGTAGAACCCACAACAGCAAGGTCTGGGGAGGGGTGTGTACGCATACTTTACCCCTACTAAAAGTAGAGAGGCTGTTCCAACATACCCCAGCTCAAGCAACACAGAGAGAAAACTAAGGGTAAGAAAAACATAATAAGACAAAAGGCACACAAACAAATGTAAAGAGAATGACCCCAAACCTACAAATCATACACCACAAGAACAGAACTACCACCCCAGTCCAAACAATAATCCAACTACCCTAATACTAGATCTTCAGACGTTCCTAATCACCTCCTAATTCTTCCTAGGTCTACCCGTTCCCCGAATCATCCTATTCCATACTCGCATATATAAGTTATCAAATGCTAATGAAAATGGTGCTATACAAATCCATACAGTGAAAAATCCGCTTAGGCTGTACTGCAGGATTGGTACAGGATTCACGCCTAATTCCAAGTCATTCAGAAAAGGGCCATTTGTGTCCATGATGGTGCCAACATTAGGAAATCCTGAGAATGCCCATGTATGATTTAGGCGTATGCTATAATCAAACACTTGAGGGCCTTGCTCATGAAATATAATGGCTCCTTTAATTTTTGGGTTTGTACAATTCCTGCACAAAGACGGAAGAGGGGTGGGGTGGGGGAGGGGATAGTACCATGGTCAATAGTGAATTTGAAAAACTAAAATATGGGGAAAACAGGAAACACAAACCAACCAGGGCCAAAAGAGCATGAGAAGGAATATGATATCAACATACGGAATACTCCGTAATTCACAACAAACAAGTGAGAAACGGCATGGGTTTGACACTGGAATTGGAAATAAATATTACTGCAAGAAATATTAATCCACCTAAAAAGCAATGTTTTACTCTTAAAAATTTTTGAAAACTGCATTGTGTTCCACATCAATACTATCAAGAACCACATTAACCCATCAATCACATGCACATATTATATGCAAGAGAATACATTCTTCTCTGGAACTTGTGTCTTAGGTTCACATAGTGACCACAATTGCATTTTGTCTAGTTAACATTTTCAGTATGACCAATTTTTTTTCTTTTTCAGCCCTACTTTGAGGAAAGCTACGGAATATATGTTTATCAATGTAACTCAAAACCAAGGAGCGACACATATAAACACATATGTACATAATGTGTTCTACCAAGCCGCAAACAATAATAGGAATTTAAAAAGGTCAACTATATTGGGAATCATCTTTTGAAACCAAACATAAGCAGATCAGGACAAGTTAGAAAGTATCCTCTCCAGTCTAAAGACCCTTTACTTTCCGACTCCTCAGGGCCCTCTGGGTATTGATTCTGCCACCTCATAAAGAACAGATCTTATGTTTATGAAAATAAAGGTAATACCAAGAGCAACAACATGAACAGCCCAGTTCAGTATGAAATTTCATAATCTTTGCATAGTAGCACCAATATGGTATTATCCTTCCCATAAAATTTACATTTACTCTTCTCATGTATACAAACTTCAAATTTATATTTCTTCTTCATGCTTACAAGAGCCATAAACAAACTTCAAACCTGCCTTTGTTTTATTGCACAACCAACCATCATCAACTAAATTGTCTGATCTCCCTTGGTAATATTACGCAACAAACCATTATTACTCTATCTATTCTCTTCTTATCTTCACTATATACGTACAAAGCTCTTGATATTCTTGACTATCTTTCTAAGATAATCACATGTAGAATAATAAACATCTTCACACTTTATTGTTTCTAAAATTACTTGCAAGAATGTGTGTGCACACGTCAGTCACGTATAGATGTAATAATGTTAACATTAATAATAATAATAATAGTAGTAGTAGTATTAGTGGTGGTGGTGGTGATGGTAGTGGTAGTGGTAGTAGTAGTCGTAGTGGTAGTGGTAGTGGTAGTGGTAGTGGTAGTGGTAGTGGTAGTGGTAGTGGTAGTGGTAGTGGTAGTGGTAGTGGTAGTGGTAGTGGTAGTGGTAGTGGTAGTAGTCGTAGTCGTAGTGGTAGTCATAGTGGTAGTGGTAGTTGTAGTGGTAGTAGTGGTAGTTGTAGTAGTCGCAGTGGTAGTAGTCGTAGTGGTAGTAGTAGTAGTCGTAGTGGTAGTAGTAGTAGTAATACTCTGTAATAATAATAATAATAATAATAATAATAATAATAATAATAATAATAATAATAATATAACAACAAAATAGTAATGTTGTAATGAAATAAGAACTAAGAGAGATATGAGGTAAACATGTTTCCATTTTCTTTACTCTTTTGTGGTGTGTGTGATTCCTTACTTGCTAGTGTTTGATCGATAAGCTCTGACTCGGTAAGTGAAAATAGAAAGAAAACCATCAATGCACGAATGAAAAATCAAATAAATTGGATGCTCATTGTTCATAACACTACTAAATGATTGATATCTTTGTGGACAGCCAAATATGAATTTACTGAAGTGGCAAAAGCAAGCAACGGTATTGAGGACTCTGGATATAAAATGGTTAGAGTTGACCCTTGACATTGTATGCTGAACGCAAACTTGATCTCTTTTTTCCACTCAGTTAAGGAGAAAGCTCATAAATAACTACAGCAGCAACAAAGAACAAAATCAAATGTACCCCCACAATAATAAAATAGAGGCAAGGAATTTCAAACCATTAAGTTCCACTCATACTTTAAGTTTACTATTCCAATTGACATATACACAGCATTTAAAAATAACAGCTTGAAACATTACTCACTTCTGACCACACATTCCATAATCATTTGACCGTATATATGTCTCGAGCTCTTCTTCATCATTGTAAACTCTAGTAACAGCCTGTATTCAGCAAATAAACCATATTATCACCAAAGAATAGTAATCAGAGATTTAAAAAGCGCCATAAACAAACTTGTTATATTACTTACTCCCTCCGTCCCATAAAGATAGGGGCATATTGATTAAAGACTTAAAGTGGTAAAATAAGGGAAAGATAATTTTGTGTTGGTTTTTCAAAAATACCCTTGATGTGATGTGTAGATTATTAGGAAAAAGGTATGATGTGATAAGTAGGATATGAAAAAGTAGGGGGTAACAGTGGTTTTTTAATAGAAATGGGAAGGACTTTTGGGGACACGGTTTTTTTGAAACGTGAAGGACTTTCTGGGACGGAGTGAGTATTTTTTACCAAAGAAAGGGATCAACAACCTAGTTGAATCTTGAACCCCAAGATAGTAGGGTCTCGAGTGTTATCCTTGGTTTGCTAAATCTCGTATTTTGATGTTAACAAACAATATATGAGCTAATGGGTGTTTGAGTGTTTCAGGTACAACAAGAATCCATTAAATTAAGATTCTCATTTCTCAAAAATAAAGTTGAAACACCAAACTAGTGTAGAATATAGGTAGAATTCAATGTAAGAATATATATTTATATGTCGATATTCACAAGTTCAAATGTGCTCACAAAATGTGTTTAAAACCTTCTTATAATCATTTTCAAACATCCAAAAGGTTATAAACAAAATCGGAAAGGATTTGGCCAAATATGAAAAGACCTACACGGTGGTCTAGGACCCCTATTGCCTTCTCGGGACCTAGGTACCGTCCGCCCGGGACCCCCTACCGGAAGGGCTACCGTTATGAAGCTACCGTCAAAGAATTTTTGCCTATTCTCTGACCCCCCTACCGTTAAGGCGGCACCTAGGTATCGTTTCAACGGGCATTTCTTTTTAAAGTGTTGTATTATCTGTTAAACCACTTTTAAATACCTTTAGTGCTCCAAACGGCCATAAACGGACACTTAGCATTCTCCACTATAAATAGGGCCATAATCCTTCATTCTAAATACCAACCCAATCTCTCCAATTTTATACTTCATTTTTCAAGTGTGTTCAAAGGCTTGTTCATTGTTATTTATATTTTTGCTTTTAGGACTTGTTTTTCTCCTGATTTTACACAAACACACATTGAGATTGTGATTATACGTATACTTTCATATTCATTAGGTTGATCTTGTATTATTTTACAGAATATAATCTCCGTTCTTCACCAGCCAAGGATTGATCTTTTTCTTTATCATAGGTCAAAAGGTGTTGAATATTTTTTTGTGTTTTTAGACACATTTCTTTATCAATTGTAACGATCTAGGATAGTCGTATAAATCCTTGTGTACACGATTAAGGATAGCCAAGAAATTCTTGGGTAAAAGATTCAAGGATAGCCTTTCGAATCCTTGAGGGAAAAGGTAAAAGATGGCCTTCAAATCTTCGTTGTAAGCGGATCGAGATAGCCATTGTGAAATCTTAAGGTGAATCCCATTGGTTGGCAAAGGTTGTTTGCCAAAACTAGTGTGGTGCTTTGACAGAGTTTAAGAGGCCAGGACTTAGTGGATTCGGAAATCCTTAAGGAGGAGCCTTAAGGTAATGGAGTAGGGATTTCTCAAACCAATATAAATTGGTGCGTTCTTACTTTATGTTTTTTTACTTCTGCGTTATTTTCATTGTTTCCGCATTTGCCAACACCAATTTTATTAAACTCTGAACAAAATTTAAACGCCTTATTCACCCCCCCTAAGGTGTAGGCACATCAACTAACATCGGGAAGGTGTGTGTATGTTACCCCTACTCAAAAATAGGCTTATCAATGGGTCGAGTTTAGTCCTAAATCCGACAATTATTTTGCAGGTAACTGGGTATAGGGTAGACTTAATCTCTGTTTAACCGACCCTGATTGGGACCCATTTAAAGTTTATAAAATGGATATAGGTTTAGGTCACCGTATGTCAGACCTGACTAAACCCAACCCGATACAACAACCCAGTTAATCCCATGAAAGTAGAGTCTGGGGCTGGGGGTGTACGCAAACCTTACCCTACTCAAAAGTAGAGAGGCTGTTTCCAAAAGACCCCCGAGCCAATATAAATAAATAGCGATTTTATTTTATGAGATTGTAGAAATTAATTATGTGTTTACGCTTTAGAGTGTTTAATTTGAAGGGTAAAATTTTGTTATGCTAAAATACTCCATAACTTAGTGTGAGAATTAATATTTTGTTTGTTGGAGTACTATTTATGTGTTTAAGTTTTTAAATACAATTGTGTAGAATAATAATATTGAATCAGAAAAAATAAACAATTTTTAGTTTTTTCTAAACCAAATCATTGAATGTATATAAAGTCTCATAACTTAAAGAAAGATAACTATTTATGTCACGTAAAGATGTAGTCTAAATTAGAGTTATAAAACTAAAAAACTCTCAACCGCCTAGACCCGAATTCGGGCCCGGTCCGACCAAGACCCAGGTTCAGAAACACAAACAGTGGACCATAAGATAGGAATTACCTGCAGTAGAGGAAATTTAAGAGAGAGAATATTGATCATCATCCTTGTCTCGTTGGTATCTGGCGCAAAAGCCAAATACTCATTCTTGGACATCAATAGTTCCAGGATTTGATTGAAAGTTGCGGACTTATCACCTTTCCCTATTTCTGTGAACATCCCTTTCCGGATATACCTGCAAATCATTTTGAACTTTCCAATTTCATTTAATGACTTTCCTTTTTACCATTGTAAAAACAATTGTGCTTGGAGAGCTTTTCATTATGGTCATGTCTAAGATCTCATGTGATGGCTGTTCGTACAGCCAAATAAAGCTCTTACTGGAAACAAACTAATGTGTTGTACCATAAGATATGAGAAAACCACTGCATTTTGTCTTCATACAATTTGTTCATCCATCAAACAAAAAAACAATCCATTTAGCAGATATCCAAGTATGGTTAGACATAAAATTTAAAATTCAAGGGATTCATACGGCTGTGCTGGATGGATTTGAGTGTCAGACTGTCTTCTCACAGCTATCAGCAACAGCATGACAACAGTTGGTAGAAAAATCTGTCATTAAAAGTAAATGTCATTAACTCTACTTGACCTCTTAGTAGTAAGAAACTAAGAATGACTGAACATTACCAAAAGCATGTAATTTCCGATGCGACCTTTCTTAAAACCACCTTACAGTACACAAATGCTAAAAGGGGAAAAAATAGCATAACATGGTGCTAACAAAAAGTGAGTACTACAAATGCAATAAATGAATAAACAAGGAATCGAAATGAAGGAGCCGAAGAATTCCGGACATTACAATTTACAGCCACCTACAAACAGCATGATCATCAAATGCAAAGAACAGCAGGGTTTCTAAAAAAAACACTACTGTATTTTTAAAAAAAAATCAAAAATCTGGGGATTTTACAGGAAAGTTTAACCCAAATTTAACTATGTAAAAGAACTTAAAATACTTCAAACTGAAATTACTGCAAACACGCATTCTCTTCAGAAGAAGACGAAGACAGGAAAAATCAATATAGAGAAGAGGACAGAACCTCAGCGCATGTGACAAAGGGATGACGGATTTTGAGGAGCCAGTTCTTGCGAAGCATCGCCTTGAGCTGTCTCTTCCTTGAATTCTTCTTAAATTCCCTCTCTTCATTATCCTTGTGCTTCTCCATGCTTCAGAATCGGGGAGTACGGCGGGAGTATTGATCACTGGGCAGAGTGATTCACCCTCCTTGTTCCTCTTCTTCCTCGGACTTGTCTCAACTGGAAGCTGCTAGGGTGCATTTCTGTTAGAGAGAGAGAGTAATGAAAAAGGTGGAGTCGGGTGAAAGATGAAGAAGAGCATGGATTTTACAATTTTATTGAAAATTGAGAAAGTTGGGTTTTGGCGTCTGTTGAAAAACGAGTAAAATGACTTGGCAACTTTCTTTCTCTTTGTCCTCGAACCACCCGTACACTGACAAACGACCCACACCAGCAGCCGAACTACTCTCTTTCAAAAACTATTGTGTTTGGCAACTAGCATTTCATTTGAATTCATGTATTTTAATTCCAAAATTTAAAATCTTGAATTTCAAATGACAAGGAGAGGTGCATGGATTTCAAATTAAACTTTGTTACAAATGAGAAGAATTTGACTCAAATCCAAATTCAAAATTTTTAAGTTTCCCAAACATAGAATTTGAATCAAATCCGGATTTGAAATCCAAATCTATGTTCCCAAACATACTATTAGGTAGTGTTTGGCAACTAGCATTTCATTTCAATTGATGCATTTCAATTCCAAAATTTGAAATTCTGAATTTCAAATGACAAGGGGAGGTGCATGGATTTCAAATTAAGCTTTGTTTTGAATGTAAAGAATTTGATTCAAATCCATATTCAAAATGCTTAAGTTTCCCAAACATGGAATTTAAGCCAAATCCGGATTTGAAATCCAAATCCATGTTCCCAAACATACCATTAAGTTATTTGTAGACCGGAATTTGTATCCTATTTTGTACCCCAAAAATATTTATTGATATTTTATGCTAGTATAATGTTATTGTGATGATTTACATTGACAAAAAATGACAGTGCAAATTTTTTAATTGAACTAACATTTTCTGCCAGTGTGAACCATTAAAATATCGGTGCACTTTTTTGGGATACACTTTTGATGTACCCTAGCATCGTTGCTTTCAAAAATATCCCTAAACATTGTACCATTGGCAGAAGTAGGAAGTCTCAATAGATAGATCCAAGTTTGATTTCTAACAATTACGATGAGAGACAATTATACCAAGTGTAAGGTCTTTGCCACTAATAAGTACCGACTCCACTTCCTTTCACATATCTGCAATCAAAGTTTAATTTACCTTTTCTCGGTGACTGTCCGTTCGAGTTTGAGGGGTCCTCTCTCTAACAAAAACTGTTTTATTTTGAATTTTGGCAGATTTACTTTGTAATTTGATATTCTAATTATATTCTAGTGTCGAGGGAAACAACAAATGACTTAAATAACTTATTATATGAATAAAGTATATTGTAATTACTTTACTTTGATATATAAGTCATTTTAGTAAAACTATAAGTGTTTTGAAGAAAAATGAAAGAAAAATTGTTCTCAAAAACGAAAGGAGTAAAAAGAGAAATATTAGGCCAAACATCTCTATGAGAAAAATACTATTTTGACATTATAATTTCTCATAGACACACACTACAATAATTGGTTGTGCCACATATAGATAGATATTGTCAATACATATCTGTGAAAAATTATAATGTTAAGAGGTGGGATTCCTCTTACAAAGCCCAACTTTTTAAAAGTGGTACTTTATAAAAGAGGTTGGTAATTTACTTGTGTCTAGAAGATGACTGGAACACTTTGTAATATATAGTAGAAAAGGCCGACGACAACAAATCTTTCCCTGAAACAGGGTAAGGATTGCCGCTAACTAGGGACGACTCTTCCACGAGCCAAATATTATACCAGGAAGCCCGACCTCCCATATGGAAGTTTGAAATCTGGCCAAGTCCGAAGAGGTTTGCACCCCAAAATGAGCTGAATGAGTGTGGGCACACCCCCTTGCACACGGCTTGGATCATTAGGACACACTAAAGGCTATACCTGAGGGATCCTCTCAAAGAAAAAATTGAATTAGTTTTGAACTTTGACCATAAATTATTGGCAGCTTGTTAATTTATTTTTAGAATGCTTGATAAGAATCAAAGCCAACGTAGCAAGAACGAAATCATTGGAAAGCACATAGAGCTCAAGTATAGCCGAATAGAACGAGCACGAACACCTCGTGCAAAGAGTAATTTTATAATTAGTCAAATAGTCAAAGTTCATGTGGGGTGAATTAAAAAAAAGGATGAATCTCATCCTTGAGGCTATAGAGAATCAGTCGGATGGTGACTTTAGAGGAGACAAATTGAGCTTTAATCACAATTGATGGCAAATAATGGAGCATGCACCTCACACTTGAAGAGGTCTCATACTTAACATAGTTCCATCGTAACACAGTTGTCAAAAATCAAATTCGGATATTTTCTCATTGAAACTCCTTGCACTGCTAACTGCGCAACACCCACCGACAAGTGAGATGAATTTAAAGTTTTGGTAGGGTTTGGCTCTCACCACCCTTATCTTAATGCAAGTGTTTGTATGTTATTTATTATTTACATGAATTATTTGTATATTATCCCTACTTTTTAAGCAGAAAGGCAACAGAATTACACTTGGTCAAAGTACGGGTTGAATCGGATTTAAATTGGGCTAGATTTTGACCGAACCTCTTGTGGACTTGAACATTACATGTCATACCCAGTCCTCATCACTTACGAGCCTTGTAATTTATGGGCCTACAATGAAATTCAAGTCCAAGCCAACATTTTTTCGGGCAAGCCATACAGGGAGGACATGTACTTGGATCAATGATTGAGCCTAAGGCATCACTCCATTCAATTTATTTTTTTTCGCTTATTACTTATTTTTATTATAATCTGATTAGACCAGATTAGTTCATATCATATCTTCAAAAATCAAATATGAAGGCAGCCTAAATCACAAGGAATTGCAAGGAATGCTGGCAACAAAACGACCCCCTCCCCTAACTCTAGCAGGACTGTGCTGAGTGGGATATCGTATGGTCCGAAACCAATGGCTGCCACCACGGCTTCTCATCCCAAGATAACGAACGGCGTCGGAATCGGTCCTCGAGTCAGACTCGGTTGCTCCTGCTTAACTCATCGACCGGCGTCCGCCTCATCAACGATCACTCCTACTCTCCCCCGCATTCCCCATGGCCTCCTCACCCTCAAACGTGGTTCCACCAGTCGGCGTGCTGTTCGAGGCGACTTAGTTGCTTCATTCGCCACTCGCCGCCGTGCTTCGCCTCCGTCGCTTACGACCTCCGCCGCTCTCTCCACTGAGGAACTGGCGCAGACTAGCTCTTCAGGCAAAACAATTTTCTGAAATTTTATGGAGCGTGTTGATTGTGCGGTTTTAGATTAAGCTCTTCATCCGTATTCATAGAATGTTTTCTTATTATTAATCGCAATTAATACCTTGAATTAGAAATGCAAAAACTAGAACAATTGTAGTCTATGGAATTACGTATTTCAGCAGACATTGCCAATCATTTGAATTTTGATTATCTCCAAATCTTAGTTTTCAAGACAACCATAAATGTGCGGTTTGCTGCTTATGTAATTCTAGCTTACTGTCTCATCCCATGCAAATGCTACATTGTTAAACCTCATTGTGGAAGCTTCCATTACCTTTTTGACTTTTTGTCCAGGGAAAAGTGTTGAGAATCTAGTAATCATAGGGTCAGGACCTGCTGGATATACTGCTGCAATTTACGCAGCTCGAGCAAACTTGAAGCCCGTGGTGTTTGAAGGATACCAAGTAGGTGGCGTTCCAGGGGGTCAGTTGATGACCACTACAGATGTAGAAAACTTTCCAGGTTTTCCAGATGGAATTACTGGTCCAGACTTGATGGACAGGTATAATAACTCGATCATCACTTTTACATTTTTACTTTCTGTAATATGTAGCAATAGCATAAAACTCTTTCTGCAATTATGGACACATGCAATTTTTTATCATATAAGCATATCATTTTCTAGGATGCGACGGCAAGCTGAACGTTGGGGAGCTGAATTGTATCAGGAAGATGTGGAATTTGTAGATGTAAAGAATGCTCCTTTTACTGTCCAAAGTAGTGAACGTAAGGTGAAAATTCATTTTATTGACAGGTTAAACCCATTACAAAGCTACTAAATTAATTCTTGCTGCTGTATGTGGCCGCATAAAGCATTTATTTGGCCTAATCCACTCTAAACAAGATCTTCTCCAAAAAAGATGTGTTCATTTGCCTACTTGGCCCACCCCTATTTCTAATATTGAGCCCTTATATCGAGGTTGAGTTGGTACACTTGTCATCTTTTTCCTATGTTTTCTGTTGGATCCATTTTGTGCCATTGTCATGTTGGACCTAATGATATTGGTGTTAAGCTCTAATGTGATTTAAATGTTATTCCAACTGTTTTTTAGACTAGTTATTTAGTGACTGGCACATCAATTTCCACCAATTAATATTAATTGGTGTTTCCTTATGTAATTTGTAGTTCCATTATTTTAAAAATCAATATTATTTGTGTTGTTGTTTTTTACTGTAAGCACTGTTATTATTATTATTATGATTATGGTTATTACTATTATTTTTCATTTACATTTTGCTTGAATCTTTGACACAAAAGAAGCGTATAGTTTTTAATTATATTGGAAGACCATAAATTTTCAAGTATAGTGCTATACCCACTTACATCTCTAAAAGGGTCTTGCATTTTTATGTTAAGGCTCAAGGGTGAAGAGAATTCTTTTACTTTTTGGTTTTTCCTGTTCAGGACACTCTTTAGCTCTTCAATATTCATACAAATATCTTACTGCTCCTTTTTTCCTTTATTTTCAGGTAAGGTGCCATAGTATCATTTTTGCCACTGGAGCTACCGCAAATAGACTTAGAATACCCGGAGAAGATGAATTTTGGAGTAGAGGAATTAGTGCATGTGCAATATGTGATGGAGCTTCACCACTCTTCAAAGGGCAAGTCCTTGCTGTGGTTGGAGGTGGTGATACAGCTACTGAGGAAGCTATATACTTAACAAAGTACGCACGCCATGTGCATTTACTTGTACGCAGAGACCATCTAAAAGCATCAAAGGCAATGCAAGATAGGTAAATAAGCTGAGTGGATTACATTAGCTTCTCTTTTTTTTATTTAAATTTGTTTTACTAAATATCTCAGGCCCTTGATAAATACGGAGTAGTTTATTATGAATGTCTGATAGATTTGGTATTTTAGGATATAACGAACATGCTTTCGTACTCTGGATATCATGTTCTTTTGGCACTTTGATACTACCCTTGCATGATTTCAGATTAAACAGTGCTTGTTGTTCCATTATTCGTTTTACACTTGTTACTAGTGAGTAATATAGGGATAGCTTTCTGAGTAGATTTAAATTTTTTCACTTTATTTTTTTAAATATAATTTTTGAATATGTTCCAAATATGTTTCCTTTTAAAAAATAGGAAGCAGTTCAATCTTGTGAATTGTGATGTTGTCTTTCTCTTTTAATGAATCAAGTTACTAAAGAGCAATATATTTCAAGTTTGAACTTCGTAAATGTTTGTTTAACAGGATGATTATGGCGAATGTTTCAGAGTTTTCAACAATCCAAACATCACTGTGCATTTCAACACAGAGACTGTGGATGTGGTTAGCAACCCAAAAGGCCAGATGTCAGGCATTCTGGTTAGGAGAGTAGACACCCAAAAGGAATCTGTGCTGGAGGCAAAGGGGTTGTTTTATGGGATAGGTCATTCTCCAAATAGTCAGCTGTTGGAAGGGCAAATTAAACTTGATAGCTCCGGTTATATATTGGCCGAGAAGGGCACAACAAAAACCTCTGTTGAAGGTGTCTTTGCAGCTGGAGACGTGCAGGTAAACATAAATATTATATATCTCTTTGTGTTTTTCTTTGAGCAGAATCTGATAATGCAAGCTTTATACCTGCGACATAAGCAACTCGGTTATAGAGCTTATTAGCTTTAACCAGCATGTTAAAAGTCACATATCTTCTGAAATGGTTTGTTTGGATGATAAATTCTAACAAGTGTCTATTTTCTAACATACCTCCTGAAATGGTCTGTTTGGATGGAGGATATCAGAGTTTGGAGAGCTCACTCACTCCAAAATAATCGCAAGAGTCAAACATTTACACTTGTGATCTATACATACGTAATCCATGTGGGATTTGCTAGATTCATTTTGATTAAAAATTTCATAAAATCATTTTTGTAACTTTCAGTAAAACAATTATTTTGGACGTAATCATAAAATCATGTGGGATAACTTTCATAAAATCATTTTTATACGTAATCCATGTGGGATTTGCTAGATTTATTTTGTACATTGGCAAATGTGAAAAAGCAAGTGTTGAGACCATCATTGGCAATAGTCGTGTACCTATAATTAATTATGCTACTCTTTGCTCCTCTATAAGTAGGACCATGAATGGAGGCAGGCCATTACTGCAGCGGGATCAGGATGTGTTGCTGCCCTATCAGTTGAGAGATACCTTACAAGCAACAATCTTCTTGTTGAATTCCACCAGGTATATGAGATCTCAGCCTATTTTTATAAAATTGCACTTCCATTAACTACATTGTGTTGATTTTATTCAGAAACCAACCGAAGAGGTTAAAAAGGATCTCACAGACCGAGATGTCCAGGAAGGTTTTGATATCACACTTCCAAAACACAAGGGACAGGTGTGAGGACGATATATGCCAACTCATAAACTGATACCCCCTCACTCCGCTAAATAAATTAAGAGCCCCTTCGGTAAAGGTCATTTGAGTACTTGGCTGAAGTAGATTTAGCTAAATCTGCTGAATTTTATAAAAGAAAAGATGTGGTAAAATCTATTTCAGCCAAATAACCGAAATATGTAAGTCAAAATCAGAATAAGCTCATTAATATTACCGAACAGGGCCTAAAATATTTTTTTGTTGAAATGCTTGTTTGAACAATGATTCCTCTCTCTGCTCCTACCAGTATGCCTTACGGAAGCTGTATCATGAGAGCCCAAGACTCTTATGTGTGTTGTACACCTCACCAACCTGTGGTCCCTGTCGGACATTGAAACCTATAATCACCAAGGTTTTGTGACTCAATCACTTCTATATGTATGTTGAACACATTAATGTTGCTGAAGTGCTGAACCTCCTTTAATCGTCCTCCACTTGTACCTCCTGGTTTTTTGTAGGTTGTTGACGAATTTGAGCATGATGTCCATTTTGTTGAGATTGATATCACCGAAGACCCAGAGATTGCCGAGGCAGCCGAAATTATGGGGACACCATGTGTGCACTTCTTCAAAAATAAGGAGATGCTCAAGTAGGCTTCCATTTCTTTTCTCTTTTTTTTTTCAAATTTCCAAACTCATCTTTTCCTAGGTCATTTTTTTTATCACCCAACAACTCTCTTTAGTTTATACCCTAATAAACTGGGCTCTTAGGGCTTGTTCTCTTCACCTGATTTGATCGGTTCTGATCTAATTGGAATAAATTTTGATATGGTGTGATCTTATTGTAATTAATCTTTAAAGCTGTTTTTGATGTGTCTAGTCTGATTTGGGTTGATTCAAATAAGAATAAGTAATAAGTAATAAGAAAAAGTTGAAGAGAACAAGCTCTTAGTTTGAATGACTCAAAATTTGTGAGTCATTTAATGTTTGATGAAGAAGTGTAACTCGGGTTAAATAGTACTTCCATCTGTCCCAAAGTACAGTTCCCATTAGAAATTGGGACGGATGGATGCTTGGGGGTGCCTCTTTTAATGCACGACTCATTTATTCTTGTTGAAAGCTTTTCACCACCTATGTTTTTTTAGACTGTCAAACTCATCTTAAACTTGCCACTGCGTGCAGGACCCTATCCGGAGTAAAGATGAAGAGAGAATACAGGGAATTCATTGAAGCCAATAAATAAGAAGACACCAATTCTTTTGCATTATTATAATCTCACATCAGCCCCCAATAACTCTTCATCCTTTACATGTCCATAGCATGCCCATGCTGTGTGGTAAATGTGTGTGTTGTTGTAGCATTACTCCATTTTTATCTTATAAGAGAAACCAAACTCAAAGTGAGGTGGGGTTTGGCTCGATTTGATTTGGCTCCGTTATAGAAGATTGAAATGCTTGAATGGTGTTATGTAACCAAACAACGAAGTCTAAAATAGGTTTCGAACACGAGAGATAGACATAACACAATGTTTATCGTTGAGACAAATCCAGATTAAATTTATTATTGAAAATGTTTACGAACTTCAAATGTGGAGTGCGTCCAAACAACAAACCATAGGAGTATTACTTCCCATGACTGGCATGACACAATTGCAGCTTCGTATACTGTCTCCTATTTTCACGATGAAACCTCCCGGTGCAGTCATCCCTAAAATTTCTTCGCCTTTTCGAAACCTAACCACCCATATAAGACTCACTTTGCTTTCTTCTATACCAAAGCCAACCTCTTTGAACTTCCTCACCAGATTGAAAATACTTAGCGCGGTTTGAGGGTGGTCACACACATACACTGATACACACACACCTTGATAAACCATAGTGACATGCATGCACACATAAGTTAACTTAATAGGTTACTAGTAAGTTTTGAATGTTTATAAGTTGAAACTTACTTTTTTTTATTTTGACTTTTCATTATCTCTCCATTTTAATACTTTGATCATACTATACAAATGTGATGATTCAAAATGAATAGAGTATATGGCTATTTTATTCGTTATTTTGTACTCCGTATATCACAATTCAATTATTTTTATCATGTAGTACTTTTTTGTCTCTTATTAAAACTATTTTATGTAATAGTTTTAAAAACATTCAAATAAAACATACCTTATACTTTATTAGAAAATTAAAATTTACTCTCTCCGTCCAAAAAATTTTCTTTCCATTGTGTGTTACAATGTTTTATTAAAATTATTTTTTATGAAAATTGATGTGAAATTATAGAATAAAAAATATATATATTCAAAAACTACATTAAAAAATCTACAAAAATATATTACGTATTATTTTATCGATCAAATAAGCGATGAAGATAGACAAAGAATATGAATAAAACCTAATTTTATAAATAGGGAACGAGAAGATATTTATAGACGGAGAAAGTAAAAAATTACACATAAATAAAATGTATATTTTATAAAAATGTTTAGATTTTGATTGTAGACGAGTCCTTGCAAATGTAACATACAAATTTTTTTGGTTGCTAAAAGAAATGAAAAATTTACTCCACATAAGACTAAAAGTTATTATGTTTCACTGAATAGGACCAAATATGTTTTATTCTCTTTATGACACATATTTTCGTATGATTTTCCATATTTGTCTTTATTAGAAACAAGTATTGGATAATGATTGATTATACGAATGACTCTACGAATATGATGGCCATTAGCAATACATTATGTATAATGACGGATTATTTTAATAGGTCATGAACTGTGTAATAGGTGATTCGTTTCAAAGGAAAAGCAATTTAAAATTTTTCATTGCCAAACTTTAAAATAAATAAGACGGGTCTTATTTAGAGAAAAGTGATATTCGTATATATTTATGTCTCATTTGCCCAAAGAAAATTAGTCATTGCATTTTGAACTTCCTTTCAAAAGAAAGAGTTTTTTGAACTTCCTTATTGCATGGCATGGGAGATGATGCTGTTATAGAGGAATTGATGTAGAGCAGCCACATTTTTCTCCAATCCACTCATCATCATCTTCTACCTCTCTTCTTCCTTAGCTTAGTTCCTTCTCCTCCATATCAACGTACAATTCTCCAGATCGATCGAGATTCTTCTGAAAATCCATCCGTCACAGAGCCATCGATCATGGCCCAAGAGGCGCTGATCTACAGCTTTGTGTCCCGAGGGACCGTCATCCTCGCCGACTACACCGAGTTCTCCGGCAATTTCACCGACGTCGCCGCCCAGTGCCTCCACAAGCTCCCCACCTCCGACAACAAATTCACCTACAATTGCGATGGCTACACTTTCAATTACCTCGCCCAGAACGGGTTCAGTCAGTCTGCTTCTCCATCTCATCTTATAATTCGACAATCCATCATTAATTCATTCATTTCCTTGATTTGATTTTGACGAGATCTGTTTGTTTTTTTCCGTTCGCTTGAAATTTCTAATTCCATGTTTTGAATTTCGTGTATCAAACAAACAGAGCCTTATTGTTTTTTTAAGGACCATGCTAGGTGTATATTACTTGGTGCACACCATGTTGTACAACACAATTTTGCACCAGCACTTTGATGTTCCACACTAGCACAAAATGTGAGTGCAAAATTTTGCGATCGCATTGACATTTTGGGCAAGTGTGACCCATCAAAATAGTGTACAAAAGTGACGTATAAGTAGCATTATTGTTTTTTTAATACGTGGGTTGCAGGGCTGGCTGTAGGTTACATTTTCTGTCCGGTGCATTGCATAATGCATAGCACAAATACACTTTGTATGGATTCAGCTCATTGATTTGAAACAGAAACCAACTTCAGCTCTTCTCTTCATATTCCCCAATTCCCATTTTGAGCTTGGTTAGGAAGATGCCGTAATATGTTGTCATGAAGATGAAGTTTTACTTCTTCTTCTTCTTCTTCTTCTTCTTCTTCTTCTCCATTTTGATGTTTATTAGCATCAACCTGCAGCCTACTGCGTTGTTGCAACTGAATCTGCTGGATCACAACTTCCAACCGCCTTCTTGCAGCGTGTGAAGGAGGATTTTATCAAGAGATATGGTAAAGGGAAGGCAGATACTGCAATTGCGAAAAGTCTTACTAAGGCATTTGGGTAACATTTATCCTTCCACTATTGTGCAATAGCTAGGGATTCCAGTAATTGTAACATTTTCTTCACGCATGCATTCTCCATCATATATATATATATATATAGGCCAAAACTGAAAGAACATATGAGGTATTTTATTGATCACCCAGAAGAAATTAGCAAGCTCACCAAGGTTCAGGGTCAGGTCGATGAAGTAAAGGGTGTCATGATGGGAAACATTGAGAAGGTGAGGAACATTTGTTTGTTCTTTGTCTCTAATGAAAAACTTTATCTGGGATTATGCCTGAATATGTTCACGTTGACGTCATCCTTGATTAGGTTCTTGACCGTGGTGAGAAGATCGAGCTTCTTGTTGATAAAACAGAGAATCTTCGCTCACAGGTTAGCCAACCCATTTAATTGAATGCTATTATAAATACAAATTTAGGTTCAATCTTTTGCGATACGACGAGGGATGATAATGAGTTTGTTTACAATTGTAACAAAAATAGGCAAATAAAGATGATAAAATTTGACTATGTGAATAGCAACTAGGATAATGCTAGGAACCCACCACCCATGCCTCCATAGATGACAATACAGATGATTTTATATCTACATAGACAATAATCATCTGTGTTGATCATAGATGATTATCGTTTGTCTAGATATAGTAACTATGATGTTTTTTGGGACGGATGGAGTATCTATTATGGCTTCCAAGCCATGTATTTCGAGGAGGAGGAGGAGGAGGAGGCCTGACAATAATTCCACGTGTCCATGGCATTCAAGTAGACTACGTCAGGGTCATAACGGGCATATATTTTTTCGTTCTCGCGATTTACCCACCACCAATAGCACTCGTACCCCAAGTCTCTAACCTCAGAACAACAATCAGGGGAAGGGCTTGCCGGGGGAGGAACCCGCCCATCCTTCCCATCTGCTTCAACCGTTGCTATAATAAGCTTCCAACATTCATCGCTAGGCTCTGGTTTTGAACAAGCCGGCGTGCTTTCGGTATAATCACACAATGAAGGCCTCATTGTTATTGCTCCCATGGATAATAACAATCCCAATGAGATGTAGATGATATTGTTGCTCATTCTTGTTTCCCTTTTCATTTCCTTAGCTAGCTTTGTTGTGGAAGATATATTGTGCTAATTGAGTAAGTACGTAAGGACGTTACAAGTGGCATTTATTAAACTAAACAGGAAAATAAAGCTTTTATTAAATATTACCACCTAACTGTCCCATATTGATTACATGTGTGGAAACAAATACATGACCAAAGTTGTTACACATAAAAATTAATGAGGTATGAAGATTTCTTTATGTACCTCTCTTAAACTGAATGTTATTGGCACTTTGGCAGTGTAAATGTAAATTTATCTTTTTTATACAATGAGGGCGTATGACAGTTCATTTGCTGGCTCAGTTTCTGCATTTAGTAGAAGCTTTTTTGTGTAATCTTTGGCATTGATTTTGGTAATTGATTTTTAGCTTCTGGCATAGAGAGCCAGAAATAGGTTCAAGGTGCTTATGGATTCTACATTTAAAACCTATTTTTAAAGAAATGCCAAGCACTGTGTAACACCTTCAACCTCTCTACCTTTTCTGGTAGGGGTAAGGTTCTTTTGTTGTTGATTTTCTGTTATATATAGCCTCTCCTAAGTCCCAACAACCCCTCAAACAATAAACAAAAAATCAAAGATGGACAATGGTACTTGGGACAAAAAGGCTAGGTTTTTTACCTACATCATACCGTTGAGGTTAGATCCTTACTGGTAGGAGTATTTTTGTCTATTTCGGTTTGGCTGAGGTCACCCACAAAGTGAATCCGTATATGTGCTCTACTTGAAAAATAGATAGCAACAACCTGACCCAACATACCCTCTCCAAATTCTACTTACGCGGGATTCTACTGGGTTGTTGTTGTTGTAGATAATACGTTGGGATTAGGAAATGGGCTTCTGGGTTGGAGAGTTAATTAATTCAGTACTCCGTAATAGGTTTATGCCAACACCCAAATATATTAACACTTACTCTGATGTGCTCCGGGGTGCCCTCTTTCAACACCAAAATGGCTAACTTATATAACCCATTTTGGCATGTCCATGATTTTCAAATTTCAGGCACAGGATTTCAGAAAACAAGGGACTGCAGTGAAGAGGAAGTTGTGGTTTGAGAACATGAAGATAAAACTGATTGTGCTGGGCATCATTGCAGCATTGATTCTCATTATTGTCTTGTTTGTCTGCCATGGTTTCAAGTGCTGATCACCCTGCGAGATCTGTCACAGGTCTTAACCTGCCATTTTTGTTCTGAAGGGCCTGCGCAGGTAGGCCTACGCTTTTTGGAGGAACAAACTAACCATTTCGCACTAGACGGCGATCTATATTCATTCATTGGTATTTATGTTGCTTTGGTTGTGTTGATCTCATAATTAAGAGAACTTTGTATAGCCAA